TAGCATTTTGGTAACTTTTAATAGCATTTTGGTAATATTAGGTTTAGTTTTGAGAATCTTTGATACAATTTTGGTAAACTTTGATATAGTTATGATTTTGTTAATGTTTGATATAATTTGGTAACCTTAAATACAGTTTTGATAACTTTTGATACAATTTAATAACCTTTGATGTAATTTGCTAACCAAAGAAATTGTTTTGATAACTTTTAATACAATTTTAATAACCTTTGATATAACTTAATAATTTTTTATATAATTTTGATTTTGATAAACTTTGATATAATTTTGATTTTGATAAAATTTTTTAACCTTTGTTAAACGTTTGATAACCTTTAATAAAATTTTAGTAGCGTTTGATACGATTTTGGTAATCATTGATACAATCTCTTTAACTTATGCTATAATTTTAGTAATCATTGATATAATTTTGATAACTTTGATAAAATTTTGGTAACCTTGAATACAATTTTAGTAACCTTTGATATTTTTTTGGTAACTAATGATATAATATTGGTAATCATTGATACAATTTTGGTAACCTTTGACAAGATTTTGCTAATATATTAATATAATTTTGGTAAATTTTAATAAATTTTGGTAATTTATGATATAATTAATTAGTATTACATAGATAAATTAATGATGAACTAAAATAAATGAAACTAATAATTTATAAAAAAAAGCTAAAAGTTATGCAACCTTTAAAAACTAAACTATGAGCTTAAAAAACAAAAATATAATGATTGCAGGAAATTAAATTATATAAATATTATATGCACAATATGAAGAGCAATTGAATATTTCTTAATTATATTTTATCAACATGAAAAGAAATTGTTTTGACTAAAAAAAAAGAGACATAATAATAAATGTCAACATGCTTTGACTAGAAAGAAATATACAAAATTCAAGGAGCTAAATGTTTGTATGTTTAAAATTGATTAAATTACGAATATAAATTAAAAAAATAAAGTGTTAGCAATTCATTAAATTTATCATACAACTCAGAAAAAAATTATAAATTTTAGAAGTGCCAAAATGGGAAAATTAGATATGAAAGATAAAGGGTAAATTGAGATTTTAAAAGTAAAAGGGGGCAAGCATGAACTAACAATACATTAAGAGTTAAATTAGCAATAAATCTATGATGGTAATAAATCAGTGCAAACTTAGTGGTAAATTATCAAAAACTCTATGCTAAATCAATTATAATTTAGTTGTGAATCAATGATAACTTAGTATTAAATCAATATTAACTTAGTAGTAAATTATTATTAATTTAATAGTAAATTATTGATAACTTAATAGTAAATCATTCATAACTTAATAATAAATTAATAATAAGTATTAACTTAGTGGTAAATCATAGTTTTTGAACTTAGTAGTAAATCATCAATAACTTTTGCTAAATTGTTATAAAAGTAAATTAAAGATAATTTAGTAATAAATCAATATAAATTTAATAGTAAATTATCAATAACCTTGTAGTAAATCTTCGATAACTTAATAAATTATTAATAACTTAACAATAAATCAATATATAACTTAGTAGTAAAATGTTATCTATATATTTTATATTAAACTCTTTAGTAAAATAATTGTTGTATTGTATGGTATCCTCTAAAACGTTAGTAATAACTATACAAAAAATTATTGTTCTTAGGGACATATTTAAAATGAAAGAGAAATTAGTCTAATCTTATTGAAAAAAAATCATAAAAATTATCTATAAGTTATTTTCTTGGTTACATACTATTTTTAAATCAAAATTTATGATATAATAATAATAATAATAATAATAATAATAATAATAAAAGTTTGGGATGAAAAAGAAAACATTATATAGTTATTTTATCTGAAGTAACAATAATTTTACAATAATATGATTTTAAATCAAAATTAAAAATTTAAATTCTTAGTAGCAAATAGAATAGAAGTAAAAGTTTGAATGAGTTCACTGATAATTGATTACTTTACAAATTCATAAAAATAAAGATAAAAATCCACCACTAAAAAAATTAAAAAGAAATATAGAGGAAAAGCATTAAAGTAAAAAAAAAAAAAGTACAAAATCCGATGTGATTATAATAGAAGACGATCCTCTAAGATTGAAAACTTAAAAAATATTTTTAAAAAAATAAAGATGATGACCTATTAATAATATACTTGAAAAAAATTTCTAAATAAAAAATTCAAAATAGAGAAAAAATAGAAATTTATTTTTATTAAAACTTCACTTTAAAATTTTTGTTATATTTATTTGCTTTTGAATTTAAATTTAAAATTTCAATTTAATTTAGCATTACAATTATTATTTCAATTTTATTACTACAAACAAATATTAAAATTATAATTTGATTAAAATCATGTGCATAGCACGTGTCAAAAATTTGCATACATAATATAATTGAACTTTTATTAAATTTGTTTGTATCTTAGTAGCCTGTCAACATTACAGATTTTGTGGTGTAAAATAAAAGAGTTTAGAAATCAGCTAAAGCTTGTTTGGAAGGGAAGCAATTGGCAAAAGCTAAAGACCAAGCTATCAACAGAATTGATGTGAACTATGGACTTCACTCCAAAACCAACCTGATTTCAGTATCTGAAAGTGAAATTTTTAATTTTTCTACGATATAAATTTTTTTTTGTAGAAAACCCAAATAAATTAAATATATAAAGCATGCCTTCTGATACATAAATAGAATGGGAAAATACAAAAAAGTACGTAAAAAGGTACTGTAGAATTACCATTTGTACGGAGTAGGCTGAAAATTTTGGATTTTCTTTTTAACCTTTTATGGCAAGGAATATAACCGCTGTAGGAAATTGATTTTAATTTATGTGATCAGAAAAATGGTTTCGTTTTATTAGTTTCATATTAATTTTTAAGAAGATTTGACAATCTTTTAATTTTATTTCTGCAATACTACTTCACCGGTGATATAAGATAATGATCTATTTCATTTATCTTGTCAAAATCAATAAAAGATTGATTCTATTAGTAAATTTGTTCATCTCAATATTAATTGATTTGGATTTGAATTTTATAAGTGATTTTTTGTCGGTATTAATCATATATAATATTATATTATAACATAAATAAAAATTTAATAAAATTTATTTACATGAATGTTTAGGTGGACAATTTATATTATTGACACGTAAAATATTTTTAAATAATTTTATTCAATCAATTATCTAATTTTTAAAAATTTTAAAGTTTCAAAATTTTCATTTATCAAAGTCTTTCAAAATAAATAAGATTTATCTTATTTTAAATCTAATAAAATATATCTTCTCATATTTCACTCTTACCTAATTCAAATAGTTTTTAAAAGTTAAATCTCTAAATTTTAGGAATTATAAAAAATTATATACCATCTAAATTAATATTTATATAAATTTATATAAATAAAATTTTTGGTTGAACCACTGTTATTTACTAATTTTTTGTTTTTATTTTTTTATAATTTAAAATAAAAAAATAATTTATCTCAATTTAAAATTACACACATATCTAAATTTAAAATTATATTAACTTTTTTTTATCTTAATTTTAAATTAAACTTGGATAAACTAAACTTTGAAAAATTTAAAATTTTTTAAAATTAAATAATTATCAAATATATATTTATGATTTTTTCTCACAGTCAATGTTTTTTTTGTCATAAAATTATGACAAGATAAAGTTTCAAAATTAAATATGAAAAAATCTTTTATGATATATCACGTGTAAATCTTAGTTTATACTAAAATAATATATACTTTTAAAAATTTATGTAATTGTGAATAAGAGATTAATTTTTTCATTGTTATTTATAGATAATTTTACTTTCATAATTTAAAACTTTCATAATACTTATTTAGATTCGTTCATAATAATTTATATATAGACAAATTTTTTAATTTTAAACTCTAAATTATAAATGGTTATGATTATTTTTATTTATTTATATATAATATAAAAATTAATATAAATTAAAAATTTAAATTATTAAAAATATAATAAAAAATTCCGTGCATGGCACGGGTAAAAAAAAGCTAGTCTTGTATATGTAATTCATCCCTTTGAAATGAGAAGCATCTTATTTTGGACATGGAGATTTTGAGCAATCTATTTGTTTCGAATTTTGTTTTGACAAAAAATAAATTATTTATCAAATAAAGGGAAAAAATGCTTTTCAGTTTGAACCCACAAATTCTCACATATTTGAATGTTGATTGTTGAGCTTATTAACATTAATGTGTTTTTGGTTAATTGGGGGAAAATCAAAACCTTCATTATGACTTTTTTTTTTTTTTTTTAAGATTTAATACCCACTAAGGAAATGAAGGGTCCCTCGAAATATTGCTACAATGATGTAATTTATCTGATTAGTAAATCAATTTTAGTTCAATATATCCAGGGATTTTGACCATTTCATGGGGTTGTTTTGAATTTTCAATTCTTCTTTTCAAGTTAAAAAACAAAAAAAAAAAATCAGCTCTCAATAATGAGGCCATGATTGCAAAATAGAGTATAATAATATAGGGATTGCAGATGCATTGTGAAGATTGTCAAAGGCCTCTTTCTCATTGCATCAGAGTAAAAACCACTCAAATTTTGGAGTTTCATCAGCCATGGCTAATACCAGAGAAATAGTATTTGGTTCTATGCCTCATGTGGTATGTATAATAGAATGCTTACAAATATTGGAACCTAAGTTTGAAAAAAATAATGAAACACCATACAAAGAAAACAACTACTAAGACACCATGTTTTTCCATACTAATTTTTAGAATGATGAACTTCTAATTGAATCAATCGTGTTTTTGCAGGTAACCTCACCATTGTTCTAAGTAGTTTGATATTTATCAAGAATTCACCTTGCATTGGCAAAAATATGTGCACTTACCTTGTGAAAACAAACCAAAGAATTGAGATGAAAGCATGTAAAAGCTCACATAACAGGAGCAAAAGGAGAAATTTAGAGTAACCTTGCCCTGCATAAGAGAAACAAGAGACTAGGAGGGTTTTGTAATGATCCATCAAAGAAAAGTTCTCTCTTTAAAGCACAGGAAACGAAGTTCTGAGGTGTGATCTTGTTCCAAAAGATCTCATCTTAGTTCTGTTTACAATTTTCACTATCAGCAATAGATATGTGATTTCACTACTCGTTCAAACAATTATGGATAAAAGATGAACCAATAGGTGAACCTGAAACAATCAACTTCTAAATAAGCAAATCCAAAATATCATCTTATAATTGTGGATTCAAGTCACTACTAAAATGATATCCACCAATATTGAGGAGCTTATAAAAACAATCAGAACAAATAAACAAGCAATAATAACAAAGGGATTCCAATCATTTATGGCCTTTTCTAAGGAACACCATGCAGAGGAGCACACTACTGTTCTATCAAAGACTCCACTTTTCGATTCATACTTTTATGATTTTAGCTTTTTCAAGAATATTAAACTGGTCTCTACACTATAAGAGTACAACTCCTTGTAATAATTCTTTCCACAAGAAGGGAGGAACTTGGTCACCAGCTATGGACAACAGAACACATACAAAAGATAGGCTTTTTACCTTCTGGGGTAGCCTATTCTAAAACCACTCAATTTCCCAAGTTAATTTGAGCAGAGGTGAATAGTTAAAAAGAAATTTTAAGATCCTCCTCAAGTGATTTCACAAATCATTCAAACAATTCAGGATACAACCAATGACTAATCAGCAATGCCAAGGATCATTCATTCTACAATCAATAATCATAGATTCAAGTCACCATTAAGGATCAACATACAAAAGTAATCCAAAGAAATAAAAGAAGCGAAAAATGTAATTATACCCAAATAAAAACAAAATTACGATAGTAAAAACTTCACCATCCATTCACTATCATGAAAGGAACAATATTTATCAAATAAACCAGACAGTTAGAACTTGAAACTCCAATTCAAAAGGTTTCAAGTTCGAATCTTTGCAATAGAGCGCTATCCAAATTGTTAGTCCAACAATCAATTAGTTCCAATTTGTGTAAAAAATTTATTCTAAATTTTAACCTTCTTATTTCATCTCCAAATCCTTGGAATCCTACGGAGAACCCAAATCCTCCTTCTCATTCTCTTTTTCCAATTCCTTGACAACCTTTTCCTCAGCCTTCTTCTCGGCTCGTAAAACCGGCTCATAGTAATCAGCATGAGCCTCCATACACTTCTTCAAAGCTGAGGTTGCTTCAAAGCATTTTTCCACAATATCTTCCTTGTTTTCTTCAGCTTCTCGGATGCAATTTTCCCAACCAACAAAGCTCTCTTTGCATCCTCCTGCTTTCATGAACAAGCAAAACCCGCACTCCCCTTCTTCTTCCTCTGATTCTTCGTTTGGGGAATCTTCCGGGGGCTGTTTGGGTTCTGGGTCTTTCAGGGTTTCAGGATCAGGGGACTGTTTGGGTTCTGGGTTTTGAGAGGACATTCTTTTGTGGGGTTTGATGAGTTGAATCCGTGAGTCGGGGAGCCAGTCAAGGTTGGGGTGTTGGTTGAACAGAACTTTCCCTTCCCTTGGGCTGCTTAAAACCTCCTTAAACCCCCTTTGAATTGTGTTTTTTTCTTTTTAAAATATTTTCAATTGTTGAATTTTTCTATTAAAATATATTTATTGGGTCAGGATGGGACAGGGTTCTTTACAAGAACTTTCTCTTGGAGATTTGATTAAAATCCAAGTGGAATTATTTAAGTATTATATTAAAAAGAAATATTTGATATACTAATATTGAAATTTTTTAACTTCACAATCGCATATTTAAAAAGATGATATATTTATTTTTTTAATTAATTTTTTTAATTTTTTAAATATACATTAAATAACATATATTATTATTTTAACCCTTGAAATTAACTCCGTACATCAAATAATTTCTCTACATTAAAAGGCAATTTATATATATTTGCCTAGGTGAATTAATAAAAAATTTGTTTGGTTGATTTTTATTGTTATTTATTTTTTTGACGAAGTCTAATATTCTACACGTAACCACTGGATATAGGCATGCAAATATGCTAATATAGAAAAACTTTTAAAAAAAATTGAAATATGAATTTATAAAAAACTTTAAAAAATTGAGCGTATCCGTATCATAAATTTATTCGAATAATATATATTAGTAGTTGGGAAATTTATTCTAATAACATATATTAGTCATTAGAAATTAGTTGCCAAGTATTATACGTAAATTTGAAGAATACCTGCCGAATTTGCAGATAAAAAAGATGCATAGATTGCAGGCGAGTCTTTTAGATAAAATTTGACGCAAGTCTTTAATCCAACAACCTGTTGTAAGAGATTATAAATGCACCGTTGAAAGAACTTCTAATATTTTTAGGTTTTCAACATCAAGAACAATACTAAACCCTGAACCCCAAATTTAATCCATCTTCATTCTTACATTTCCAGTTAAAAGATTCTTTCCCCTACCTTTTCCAGTACATAATTTGCTTCTCTCTAGTTCCAATTGATGAACTTGATATATAAATAATGCACCAAACCCTAAGTGGATTGCTAACCGGAATCGGAAATAGCTATATTTGAGAATGATCCAGTAGTTCAGCGTTTGAGTTTTAGAGAAGAACGTATATTATCATACAAAGTTCAGAGACTGCTTCCAACGGTAAACAATTAACAGGTAGCAACTGGAAGCTATGCCAATATCAAACTCTTTCAAACATCAACTCTTCCAAATTTCCATATGAAATCGCCATTGAATAGCTTACATTGCATAAAAGGTTATTTTAAGAGGACAAACATTTCCAGCAGTGTTCATGCACCGCTCGCATATAAACGGGTCCATTCCTTAGCTGCAAAAGGTCAAGGAAATCAAGAACAGTCAATTATAAGAATAGTAGCATTATCATTCCTTGATTTTAGTAGCGATCCCAATGCTCTAGGATGGCAACCACAGATTTTACCTGTCTCAACAGCTTCAGCCTCATTTGTTTTCCAGTGCTTAGCAATATTCTCAGAGAGTGGATCATCGGGATTTGGAGCACTCAAAAGTGCCTGAATGCTGAAATAAAGATAATAATGTCAGTGTAGTATCCTAAAACTCAAGATGCTGCCATAAAAAAAAGATAATAACGCCTTCAACCCAGACTCAAGTGAAACCCTTTCTAGAGTATTAATATGTTTTTGTGTTTGAAATAGAAGTGAAGTCATTCTAGCAAAACAAAAACTACATCTTTACTTATAACACCTAATTTTCCAGAAAAAATTCTGTCAAGATGCAAAATCTTCTAAATATTCTTCAGCATATCATGAAATATTCGTGACACAAGAAATGTACACTGATTTACAACAATAGAGTTACATACTCACAAAAACTTATAATACCTCAAAAGTACAGTCCGGATCTGAAGCGCTGGACTCCACTTGTCTTTGAGAATATCAAGGCATATTCTACCAAGCTACAAGAAAGCTCAACCCTTAAGAGCTAAGAAAATACATCTTTCACACCATAAAATAAGGACAGCAGAAGGACAGATGCCAACCTTATCAATGTTAGGATGATAAATCTTTGTCAGAAATCGAACCTGTTACACCAAATTGGTTAAGGTGGATAAATATACAAAATACACCAAAAAGGACAGTATTAAGGATGATCGAAAATTTCGAAGAACAGAGAACAATAAATCGATGCTGAAATGCCAACTACTGTCAGTTAGCAATTCTATGAATATACTACACTCAGGAACCACTAGTGAAAGAGAGCCAAACAATTAAGTCCAATAACCAGAAACGAGACAATGAAGTCCCAATCTTGGGAAACCTGACAATTAAGTATCAAACATAAGAAGACAATTAAGTCTCAAATGCCATAATATCAGCCATGGAGAGTCCAGTTAGAAGAATAAGCACCTATTAGATCATTAACACGAATCAGAGTTGGTTCTGCACAACTGATCACATGCAAAGGCATCCACAGGAATAATGTTCTTCCCAGGTAAAATGTAAGACTAGAATCAGCTACCTAGGTAATAGCGGGTATGGTATTGACAGAATCAGAAGGACTTTCTGAAAGCCAGTGCATATGACATACTATTAGTATATATTCCGTAATCACCAAGGACACCTTAGAAAGTGATCAAAACTAGACGCACTAACAGCAAAAACATGCTAGATAAAACAAACCCACAAAGTAAAAACAGATTTCTCGACAATGCAAACTACAGCATCCTATATCATATTAAGATCCCTATAAGTAGCATTTTCAGATGAAGCCAAGTAATATTGTATATCAAAGGATCACCAATCCAGCTTGCAACAACAGATACAGAAACAGGAAGGCCATACTACTTTTTAGAAATGAATCAAAGTTGAGTACCTTGGGAGCAGCCATGGGATATTCTTCAGGTAAAAACAGTTCCAACTTGAAAACCCCTCCTGAACAAATATCCCAAACAAGAAAATGCATCATATCCTATATGTAAGCGCAAAATTAATTATAAAATGCAACAAACAACAAAAAAAGCAATGAGATATTACCAAAAACACATTTGATAAGCAGACTAAGAACTGCTTAAGACTGAAAAAATGCTAATTGGACCTATTTCAAGCCTGAAAACATCAGCCCATTTTTCTCTTTTCAATAAAAAAAGAAAATGAAATAAAATAAACACTTCAGAACCATTTTCTCAAAACCTTTCCTACTTTAAGTGTATAGAAATCATTTTAATGACTGAAAATCGGCAATGGTGTCACTCTTTATGACTTAAATCAGCCCACACCCAACTATTATACAATGAACAGTAAAATTTTACATTTCTAACACATGGCAAAATTATTTGCAACCATTATATGAAAAAATCAATTACCTTCATATGGAGACTGTGTGGGACCAAGGATCATCACATTGAAATATCGCATATTATCCTCTGATGGTGAAGCACTAATTCCCGGTGCTGTAATAAAAAAAACCCAAATAAACTCTCTTATTTAACAGAAAAAAAACCCAAAAAGTTATTTTTTCTCATCTCATAACATTTTAAATACTCTATAAAACACCGATACTAAACAGAATTCAACAAGAATTTCTATAAAAAGAAAAAAAATAAATGGGAAAGAAAAACCAAAGTACTTACCTGGTTCACTGAGGAGACGCTGGGTTTCCTGTTTAGATCAAAGATAAAGAAACCAAAATTAAAGCATGAAAATTAACAAAATTCACACAAAAATTAATGCTTTCTTCAATCTCAGAAGGCGATCTTAAAATAATTAGATGAGGATTTTGATCCATCAAAGCCCTAAAAACTTCGGTTATCAAACCAAACAGAAGAAACCCAGAAAAGAAAACCGAAAATGAAAAAAAAAAAGTAAAAGAATTAAGATTTTCTTAAGGATTCTTGGGAAACAAACAAATCGGAGAAATCGAGAAGGATTTGAAGGAGATCAAAGGAGGAACCTTGATGATTCTTCGAGGGAGATTACTATTAGCCATTGGCGAAGATCGATTGATGAAGTAAAAGAAAAAGAGAAAGAATTAGGGTTTTGAGAATCGGCAGATGGAGAGAGAAATTTTTGAGAACGAAAACAGAGTAAATAAAAAGGACCCTTCGCTTCTTAACTCTCTTCAGAAGACTTTACAGATATATATAATTATTAATTTTCTCCAAAACGCAATAGTTTTGACCTTTATGTTGTACTATTCTCTTTTTTAACTACATTATTATGTTTTTTTTACTTTTTTACTTTTATGTTACTTTTTAATTTTTACAATGTATAAATTACTAATTAAAAAAGAGTACATAATGTTAGTAAAAAAAGATTTTAGTTAGTGTTATTATCCTGTACATATTTCATGAGACGGATTAAAATTTCATCACTTATTTGTTTCTGGTATACCTAAAGTGATAAATAAAAAATTAAAATTTTTTGACATATTATATAGATATGATACATTGTTATTTTTATTCTACTTTAATTATTTTTATAAAAAATTATAATTTAAAAATAAAAAATAAAAAATAAAATATAAAAATTAAAATTCTAAATTTACTTACTAAATCTCTTCTTTTAAATTATAGAGGAAGTGGTAGCATCAATCTATTTTTGCGTTGCTATAACGCTAAGAAAGTCTTTTGCCTTTTAGTGGAAGTAATTTGGTCCATGCTCAACATTTTTTTTTTTTTAAATTCCTTTTGATCCTCCATGCATTTTTTATGTGGTGAAAATATGAGTCAACTATGAACAATATACAACACTAATTTTTGTTATCAATAATATGGCCAAAAATCACAGTAAATTTTTCGGATTTTCTGTGAAAGGATTGAAAATTTATGATCATTAAAATTAAAATTTTAATCATTAAAGTTATTTTATATTAAATTTTTTTTGTTTCATTTGTCAGTACTTTATCGACGAATTATGCAATAGTTGGTAAATCTTAAATTATTTAATTCTTTTTTTTAGAATAAAACAGTGTGCATTTCTTATGGAAAAAAGTACAAAAAGATTAAAAAACTGCGATGTTCTAATGGTTTGCTTGTATCAAATTGAAGAATGCGTTCTTGAGATCATTCGAGATTGAAGTTGAAGTGCTCGTTATTATATTATCCAAAAAACGAAGAGGAAATGGTAGAGAAAGAATGAAAATAGAAGGAGCAATTTATGTATGAAACCCATCTTGTATATTGTTCAATTAAGATCATTCTATTACAGCATCAAGGTTTGTCCATATGATTGAACAAAACCTGATGCCAAACATTGTTATTTTTATATAGGCAAAAGTTGATATTTGCGACAAGTTACAATGTTTTCCTTGAGTTAAGAGGAAGGAAACCCATTTCTTTAAGAACTTCGGCGCATCCCGGAACAGCTTCCTTCTTCAAGAACCCAAGACCGTTGGCAAATCGACGGGGGTCCAATATCCCATCCTTCTTGGTGAGGACGACCCTGGCTTTGTTCCATGATTCCATGAATTCATTACAGTCTGCCCTGGGACTCTTGGTAACCCTAACTTCGCAAATTTCTTCCTCGTGATCGCCCTTGGCTTGGATACTGTATTTGCCCGACTCGTCTGTAACTGCCTCATGGCTGTATGTGATACTGCCATCAATGGTACGATTCCTGCATTCCAATTTCACTATTGCACCTGCAAAAAAAAACACAACATACCAAACCTTCATCACCCAATTTTGATCAATCGAAGGAATCTTTGCTAACAATGTCATCCATCTTAAGTGAATTTAATCCAATGATAAAAGGATTGACGTAAGGTTCATTTGGTAGTTAATGAAAAGAATAATTATTGCGTGTCGTGATATTATTTTATGACTGATATATATAAAATTTACCAACAGAACTGAAATCTTCAGCTTCAGTCATGTTGAACATGCTTATTAAAGGTAAAATCAGTGAAAATGTAGAGCATAATAGAAGAGAAGATTGCTAAACCTTTGATAGGTTCGCTGAGTCTAGTCTCAAATTCAACACGGCAAGTGTCACAGTAAACTTTGCCTTCGACAAAGAAGGTGTCTTCGGCATCGGAGAAGCTGAGGGACGACAGATAGATTGCCAAGGAAACAAGGGCGATGACTGAAGCTTTTGCCATTTTATTATTTTATTTGTTTTTTTTCTTTATTGGGTTATCAAAGCTCGTAAAAGAAGGGTAAATTTATAGGGAGGGACTGTCGGTTTTTTTTTCCCTACGATAGTCATTCAGGTTTTCTATTTTTAAGGAATTGTAGAGAGAGACTCGTTCTTCCCTTTTTTTTTTTCTCTCTAATTGGTTGAACTATTCTCACGAAAAACATTTAAGTATCAAAAAATGGGAATAAAACTTAACTATAGGAAATTGATTGGTGAATGGAGAAAGAGATTATACGATGGTAAATGTGCGATTAATTGCAAAAAATTGAAAATTGACCGAAGGCTTTTTTTTTTTTTTAGCATGAAAAGGTCCTAGCTTTCGTCCTTATTTTTTTCTTAAATTAATTTAAGCAAATTTATTTACGAATTCATAAAAATTACATTCTCACCACTTTTTGAAAACAATAAAGAGAAGAATGGATAAGGTGAATGTATAATAACAAGAGATTAAAATGTCAGATTAGGTTGCTCTTGCAAGTCATAAGTTGTTAAGTTCTAACTCAACAAATAGTCCTAAAAACAAATCCAAGCATTCAAACAAACAAGATCCTACACTCATACCTCCACTGTTTCAGCACCCTGTCTTTTTTCCGCAAAAGGGTAAAGAAAGAAAAACCTGACAAAACAACAAAAACACCGGTCTAAAATCAAGCCATCATAATGTCATAAACCTCCAAGAACAAAAAAAAATTCTAGAAATGGCCCTCTTTATCAACATCGCCATGTTTCCAACACCAAGACCTGTAAAATCCTTCATTTCCTCTTATTCTTGCCCCAAAACCCACATATCTAAAACCCTACAAAAGCCCCAACAAAACCCCGTTTTCTTTTTTTTTTGGTTTCAAGGAGGCAGAACTCTACAACAAGGGAGGGGAGCTTCGGTGTCTTCTTTAAAGCTTTCTTGACCACTAGGCCAAGAAGCTGAGGACAACAAAACCCCATTTTCAAAATCAAAGAACCTTCGACTCTCTCAGGCCACATTACCATAAGTGGCTCAAACAACTCTTCTTTAGCTCTCTTAGCAGCCATTCTCTGCTGCTTACGCTCTTCTCTTACACAACGTTCCCAATGTCTCAGATATCGAAGCTATGGCTTCTATCTTGAGCTCTTTGGGTGCTAAAGTTGAGGCCTTTGATGGGAAATTGATGGTAAACAGTGATGGGGTTGGGAAATTGGAGGTGGATTTGGAGGAAATGAAGAAGATTAGAGGTGGGTTTTTTGTTATAGGGCCATTGCTGGCCAGGTTTGGAGAAGCTATCGTGGACTTGCCTGGTGGCTGTGATATTGGAGAGAGGCCTGTGGACCTGTATCTTCGTGGGTTAAGGGCTCTTGGTGCTGTTGTTGAATTGAGGCAAGTAATAATAATAAATTTTACGTCCCTTTTCCTTTTTCTTTGACTGTAAAGTTGTTTTTTTAGTTAGACCATTGTTGACTATGGCAATTTCTTTTATGTCTTGTTGAGTGACGAGTACTGCTGTTAATCATATCTGCTTAATGTATGATTCTGAAGTCTGAGACTAAAGGAGAGAAAGTTCTGGTTGTCAGTTAATTACCCGATGTAGATAAATCATGAGATGATCAAACAATTTTGGGGTGATATGAGCTTGTTGAACGATATAATAAGTTAAGTAAAATGAAAATTTTGCAATGTTATAGGAATGGGAAAGTGCGGGCACATGCTGCAAATGGCAGAGGATTGGTTGGAGGGACATTCCGATTCGATTACCCGAGTGTTGGGGCAACTGAAACTCTTATGATGGCAGCATCCTTGGCTGATGGTATAACTGTGCTTTCAACTGTCGCCAAAGTATGACTTGAGGAATCTCGCTTTGGTTTTAATTTCTGGTTCTGAACATGATGGGAGGAAATCTAGAATTGTGTTGTCTACTGGAATTAATTTAACTCATTTTAGTGAGTTCATGCTCCATATTTTCACGACAGGAACCAGTGGTCGTTGATCTTGCTCGTTTTCTAACAGATGGTGGGGCATCCATTGAAGGTGCCTGGAGTGACAATCTAGTTATTAGGGGAAAGAACCGGCTCCATGGTTCTGAATGTGTTATAACACCAGATTTAATTGAAGCAGCCACCTTTATGCTTGCTGAAACAATTACACACTCATGCATCTCAATGTCACCTGTCATTCCTTCCCGTATATAATGTTTGATCGACAAACTCTTGAAAGCTGGCTGCAAATTTCACAGTTTGATCAGCACATACTGCAGGTATGAAGATTCTTTAAGACATTTTCCATTTGCCCATTTAGTTTGTTGTTTTTGACAAGAAAAGCTAATGGCAAAGGTTTCAGTAGTCCCTACATATATTGGTGACAATTTGAAAGGTTTTGATATTAGGACAAGTCCATTTCCAGGGTTTCCAACAGACCTCCAAACGCAAACAACGGTACTTCTCACTACATGCACTGGTTCAAGCTTAGTGGAGGAATCTGTGTTCGAAAATCGTATGAGTCATGGTATGTGTGAACTGGTCCATAATGTGTCATCAAATATTGCGTTTCACTTTAACTTCTTCATGTGCAGAACAGAAATATCAAAAAGAGTACTTTCAGATCTGATAACATCTTTTATCTTGCTTGTCTTGGAAATGGTTAACATCTTTTATCTTGTTTGTCTTGGAAGTGGTTACATCTGTTGCTTGGGCATTATTCTCATTGTTGCTCTCCAAAGCATACTATTTCCCTTATAAGCATTGTCAATTTTATGATATATACTGGTCTGTTATCTGTTTACTTCATTCTTCCATGATATCAGCCATAAGCCTTGTCTCATTTCGTTCTCTTGTAAGGGAACTGCCGAAGCTTGGAGCAAGGATTCGGGTTTGTGGGAGAAATGTACTAGTTCCTGGGAAAGATGAAGGAAGCTAAGGTGTTCTATTTGGTATGAGGTTTTGGATGTTCATTTAACTTGGAATGATTTAACATTGCATGGTGCCTTTTGCCAGTTCATTGCGTGGCTCTCATCTTGTTGCAAGTGACCTGAGAGGCGGGGTTTCACTTGTATTAGCTGGATTGGCTGCAGAAGGAACCACTGAAATCGACAACATAGCACATATTGATCGAGGTTGTGAGAATATAGATAGGAAGCTTCAATATCTAGGAGCCGAGATCAAAAGATTGACTCTCGTGCCCTGTCTATCATAACAATTAAAATTTTTCCTTTTGTTTTTTGCATTCTTTTTCCTGGATGAACGTACACTTGGAATAAACGGAAGGAAAAATGCAGTTCTAAGCAGCTAATAGTAAGGATACTCCCGAAAGAAACAATACTAGAACCTAGGAGGAAGTAACTAACATGTCATTTATCATTCTGGTTTCGATACTCTTTCATAAGTTTGTACATGCCAAAGACATTCTTCTGCTGCCACAAGCATGGCAACAAAAAATGATCGATACTTGGCTGGTGAGAGCTCCCTGCCCCAGTAAGGCAGTGCTGCAGTAGGCTGAAACAGGTGCAATTTTAATAAATCATACGAGAACAACAACATAAAAAGGAAAAAAAAGAGAAAAAAAATGTACTGTTATATTCCTGATAAAGTTCTGCATATACATATATGTCAACACTACATTGCTGTCAAAAAGAAAATCCCTTTATCTATGTAGCTCCAGTAAATTTTCAGTTTTGCAATAACAAAATAGACAAGCTACAATACTAGTGTATCATATAAGAGATTATTCAGTACCAGTTCCTGTATCATCATGGTGCTCCAAGATCTTTTAAACCTCCAAGGGAGCAGCATAACCAATGATCAATGAAAATGCACGTGCATGTGAGGCACATAATATGAGTATGAGGGCCACAGGTCGTCTAAGAGTTTTGGCCATCTGCATAAACATACCAAGAACATTTGAATCAGAGCATAGCCATGGTTAATCAAAGAAATGTAGAAGATGATAACTGCATGGTTTGTCCATCCGCCGTGGGAATGGTACTTTTCTTCAGGGGTCCTGGAACCTGTTTCAGCCCTAGTCCTGTCTGGGTCGGATACAAAGCAGCCCAAACTACATCCTGTCCGGCTTTCCATTTCACCAAACGGTGTCGTTGTACGCCTTCTTCCCTCATAAACAAATACACACTCTCTCTCTCTTATTTTGTCTTCTCAAAAATTTCAAGTTTCTTTTTTTTTTGGTTTGTCTTTAAGTATTATTGAATTTTTTTTTAATTTAAGATTGAATTTTAATCAAACCCTGGATTTTTTCAACAGAAGAATTTGATGCTTTGACACCATGAAAGAAGATCAAAGCTCACTTCTCCTCAAAACCTCCTCTCTCTTCCCTCCTCCCCAAGGTCTTTCCTTTCTTTCCCTTTCAAACTAAATAACATTATTTTCATTTCTGTTGCTAAAAAAAGACTATGTTTTGTTTTTGGCTTTTGGTTTTAGGAGTGAAGCTATCATATGGGACAGCAGGGTTCAGGGCAGATGCATCAATCCTTAAATCAACAGTTTACAGAGTTGGGATATTGGCTGCTTTAAGATCAGTCAAAACTCAATCAGTGGTTGGATTGATGATTGCTGCTTCACACAATAAAGTTACTGACAATGGAGGAAAGATTGTTGACCCAAGTGGTGGAATGCTCTCTCAAGAATGGGAACCTTTTGCTGATCAACTTGCTAATGCCCAAACTCCTGAAACTCTCCTCTCAGCAAGTAAATTTTTATGTTTTTGGATGTGGGTTTTGTTTAATTGTTATTTATTGAAATTATTGTTGAAAGAGAGTGGGAATTGGTGCATTTTAAAATATGTTTGCAATTTTCTTGATGGTTTGTGTTGGTGCTCTGCCTGTTTTGTGTTTGTTGTCTATTGAAATAAATGGAGAGGAAATTCTGAGGAAAATAGAATTGAGTTTGAAGAGAGGATTTAAATTCTCTGTGGATTTCTAAATGAGTCTAGAAACGCATATTATACTTATTTATAGTTTGTTTCTGTAACAGCTCATAACTGAATTTGTAAAGAAGGAAAAAATCCCATTAGATGGAGTGCAATCTGCGGAGATATTGTTGGGAAGAGACACACGGCCTAGTGGAGAATCTCTTCTGGAAGCTGCAAAGCAGGTATCTCTCCTCAATCACCATGGTATTTGCTGAAACTTTCATAATTTTCTTTTTGATGTTAAATATGTCTATTATTTGTTAATATCTATCCAATTTTAGGGGATAAGTTCAATTTTTGGAGCTATTGCACTTAATTTGGGAATTTTAACAACCCCACAGCTGCATTGGATGGTTCGTGCTAGGAATAAAGGCATGAAAGCTACAGAACCTGTCTACTTTGAACAGATTTCAAGCTCTTTCAGGTTAGTTGGACCTTAGGGTTTTTATAGCCATTTATTTAATTTGAAATTATACTATTTAGATTATTGTTTAGGTGCTTGGTGGACTTGATCCCAAATAAAAGTAAAAGCAAAAAGACGGATAATACAGTGGTAGTTGATGGGGCTGATGGCGTGGGTGGAGAGAAACTTTAAGTTTTGAAAAACATGTTGACTTGTTTGGTTACTGAGGTTCGTAATTCTGGTAAAGGTGGAGGTCTACTGAATGATGGGGTTGGTGCTGATTATGTACAGAAAGAGAAGGTTGTTCCACGTGGATTTGGTTCCAATGATGTCGGCATAAGGCAAGTGATCTCTGCATATTTGGGAGTAAATTAAATTACAGTTGTCAACTGATTAGAAGCTGATTATTATTCTTGCATCTTTCTAATTTGTTGATCAAAGGTTAAAGGTGCATTTTTGTTGCAATTCATTCTTGCAAGTCCATGTGATAAACAAGATAACATGGAATAAATTTGAAGTCATATTCAGTTCTTTCTATAATTAGTGCATGTTATATTTTGTTTCACCATTATTGGCCCTTTTTCAATAGTTTGATAAGTGGCAAATTAGGATTGCTTAATGAAGTGATCTCTAACTAAGGCACTTGATCATTGACTAAGTAGTATAATGGCTAGTCCTGATGGTTGGCTTATGATGATTATTAATGGTGTTTTTGGTGTGATGCTTGCTTTGGTAAATGTGATTTATGTTAAAATTGGCTAAATGCTCAATTTGGGATTAATCATTTGGGTGGTTGTTCAATTAAGGATCTCGGCTTTAATTTGGTTCAATGTAGGATATAATGGTTTTGAATTTGTTCAAATAAGGACTGAGTTACGATTGTGGCTTACACATGCCGTTAAGTCCACTTTCTGTTAACATTTTCTGTTAAAGCCATTAACTCCAATTGAAAAAAACACAAAAATTGAGCACAATAGCAATTGATAATCAATATGGAGGCAAGGAGGAAAATTAAGCACAACAATTAGCCTCGAACAATCAAGCAAGGGAGGCTGAACAGTAACAATTCACAATTAGAGGCCATTGAAAAGCAAGAAATTTGGGCAAAGTTTTTGAATCTTTAAAGGGGCAGAAAAGTACACAGTAGATCAATTGTTCTGAGAAGCTTTTTGGGCTAAGGAAAATTTTTTTGTTAGGCAATCAACAAAGCAAATTCATCAACAAGATCAGCCATCAGCAACTAGCCTCAATTGAGCAATTGATCGAACAAGGGGGTTTCAATAGACAGAAGCAGCCACAGCAACAAGATTTGAGAATTCATCAGCAAAGGGTTTTTTCTGAGTTTGGTTCTGTTTGGGAATTTCTGGGTTTTAAGATAGAGCTAGAAAAGGGAGGAGGTGCTGATCGATCAGCAGCAAAGTGAACGGCAAACGGCGCTGGATCTTGGCAGCGAGATTCCATGATTCTTAAGCTCTTCATTTCCCGGGTTGTAGCTGGGTTCGGATTTCGGGATTTAGAGAGAGAAGAACACAGAAGAGGGGTTGAATCAGAGATTCTGGTTTCAGTTATGAAGAAGCTGTGGTGCTGGTGAAGGATGAAGACCTGCGGTGGTCATTGGCAACAAGATCGATGGAGGAAGAGGCTGATTTCTGAGTGTTTGTTCTTCGGTTAGAAAGAAGTTGGAGAAGGCAGAGTTTTTGGCTATTTTTACTGTTCATTATGTTGCAGAACAGTGATTCATGTTATTTTTTTATGCTTGTAAGCCACAGCCGTAATGGAGGGCCTTATTTAAACAAATTCGGAAATGTTATATCCTACATTGAACCAAATTAAAGTTGAGATCCTTAATTGAAAATCATGCAAATGTTAGATCCTTAATTGACATTTAGCCGTTAAAATCTGGTCATGTTGTGAATATTTTGCTTATGGTGGGAGGACAATAACCTTTAAAAGTTTTTATTTATTAGGTGTGCAAGTTTGGATGGAGATGCTGATCGCCTTGTATATTTTTTGCTGCCAACTAATGTTAGCAGCAAAATTGATCTTGTTGACGGGGACAAAATATTAACTTTGTTTGCTTTATTCATCAAGAAGCAACTAATCATTCTGACCAAGGGGGATGAAAAATCAAATAACAATTTTCAAGCTCGTCTTGGTGTGGTACAGACAGCTTATGCAAATGGAGCATCCACTGATTACCTAAAACAGTTGGGTTTAGAAGTAATTTTTACTCCTACAGGGGTGAAGCACTTACATGAGAAAGCTGCTCAGTTTGATATTGGAATCTATTTTGAGGCCAATGGTCATGGCACTATCTTGTTCTCAGAATCTTGCTTATCTTGGTTAGACGCTAGGAATAATGAGCTAGCTTTGGTGTCTGAAGGTTATTTCTGAATGCAGCCTTTCTCTTTCCAAGAATTATCTATGATACTTTACTGCGTATTACGTTATTTTTTCAGTATCCGAACAGCAGAAAGCTGCTTCAAGACTACTGTCAGTCAGTAATTTGATTAACCAAGCTGTTGGAGATTCTTTGAGTTGCTTGCTTTTGGTTGAGGTTATTTTGCAACATATGGGTTGGTCAATACATAAATGGAATGAACTTTACCAGGATTTACATAGTCGACAGCTTAAGGTCGGTTTTCTTTATTTCTTTTGGGTAAGAAACAAGAAAAGTCTTTCTCATCTGTAGCAGGAACCTTATCTACCTTTGTATCTAGTTTTATGTAAATTAAACTAGTAAATTGAAATGTTCTGAATAAGGGTCTTTTGCACATTTCATCCAAGACACTTTCTAAATTGTCAGTACTTTTGTTCATCATCCCTTGATGTTGTTTGAAGAAGCGGATGCCATTTTATTTTTTCCATACAAGAGAGAAAAGATGATGCATGTCTGTGAAGATTTAAAATGCTGCATATAATTCTTAAGATTAGCAGTTTAGCTAGGTAATGGAGAGAAAGGCTGAGTTTTGACATGACTTTTCACAAAAACTAGTAAAATTCGTTAATGTAATATTCAATTAAAAATCTTGGATTTATTACATAAAAAAGAGAAAGAAAATATCTTGGATAAACCTGGTTAAAGCTGATTTCTGGCTGCTGTTTACTTTAGATTATTTTGCCTTTAAACTTTGATCTTGTTTAGCCTTACATTAGCAATGCTCGTGCTAATTGATGCTTTCGTTGCTTGTGCCAGGTGAAAGTTGTAGACAGAAGAGCTGTTGTCAAAACAAACGCAGAAACTGTGGCTGTGAGGCCCGCTGGCTTTCAAGAAGCCATTGATGCTGAAACTGGTAACATTTTGTCATTGATCTTTTCCTGACACGTTCTTGTGCATATTCTCAGCATCCTATTAGTTTGTTTTCTTTCTTTTCTCGGTAAAATTGTGTATATTATTCAATTAACATCTTACAAAATGCAGCAAAGTACCCTAAAGGCCGGTGTTTCATACGACCATCTAGTACAGAGGATGTCATTCGTGTTTATGCAGAGGCATCCACACAAGAAGCTGCAGACAGCTTGGCCAACTCTGTTGCAAAACTTGTTGATCAGTTTCTAGGATTTGGCAGCTCTGGACAGTAGCTGCCCAAACTTTTTTATAATGTAACAGAAGTCTCAAGATGTCAAACTGGTGGTTCTAGTTTAACCAACTTAAGTTGCAGAGTTCATGATTCAGTATAGAGAGTTATTGTCCAAATTTCGGATTCCCTTTTCCATTCAGCATATATATATATATATATATATATATATTATGGGAGGGATTAACTTACATTATTGTAAAGCTAAAAAGTTTTATATCTTTTTTAACCATTGATTTCAATAAATATAAAGGACAAAAGAGTCAAGTGAAAAAGAAAAAAAATGAGTTAATTTCATACACTGAATCTATTAAAATTAATGATTAGAAAAAAGTGAAATTTTTGTGTAAGTTGATTTATATATATATATATATATATATATCTTTTACACATTAACTTATATAAAAAAGATTTATACTCTTTTTAACCCTAGATTTTAACTTACATAATTTTTAAAAAACTTTTTAGACTGATTATTTTTTTTAAAATCATATACTTGCTGTAATGGTTTTTCAAGTGAATAGAAAGTAAGGGTTTGGTTCCATTGTTAGGGGTCTAATCAAAATCACTTTGTTGGTTAATATAGTTGCATTTTTTTAATTAAAGATAAAACTTTTTTATTTCAAAATTTCATATCAATGTGAAGTTAACGAGAAAAAATAATATCAAATTGAGATCCAAATTAAAGATTGAACACGCTCCTGTCACAATCCTCAAACGCAGCCAAGGAGACATTTTCACATGCATCTCAATTTGGAGCCTTGAAGAAAAGACATACACGAATGACAAATTGTGGTGGTTGTGGCTTTTAATTCACCCTGTTAGGCTAATTAAATCAAAATATAATTAATTAATTAAGTTAAAATCATGCTTTAGTTAGGTTTCTCATGTCAAAATTCAATGAAAGTGGTATTGATGGGGTAAACACCAGATTTTGTCCAAGTTTATCAGATGAAATCCCATTTTCAGTTTTTGTTTAGTAATAATAATAATAATAATAATAATAATAATAATAATTTATCAGATGAAATCCCATTTTCAGTTTTTGTTTAATAATAATAATAATATTGGTTTAATTAAAATTAAAAAAATTATTAAAAAAAAAGAAAAAAATTAGGATAGGGACAGGGATGGTGCCATGTACCTCACCAGCCTGTTCACATACCGCTGCCACCATCATTCCCAATCCCATCATAGCCCTGTACCTCACCTGCTCCAATTGCCCAAAACCACCTACCTTATCTTGCCATGGCACCCATATTTTGTCGGGCGTATCCTCTACTTGCCACTACCATTCCTAGCCCTATAAAACACCCAACCTCTTCTTCTTTTCAAAGGTTCTCGGACTTTTGGACACTCAGACACAGGCACCCAAGCTTTCCCACACCTAAGAGACCCCAGTTCCTACACCTAAAAACTTTAGCTTTCCCAGAGTCAGAAGCTCTCGCATTACCCATATAGCCCCTAAACACTAAAAAAAAAAAAAACCAATTTTCCTCGTAAGGAGGAACCTTAGCGTCAAAACCATCCTACAACAAAAAAATAGACCATTAGTTTAAGTTTTCAAAAAAAAAAAAGGGAACACAAAAACTTCAAAGCTCGATTTGCTCATTTCGAGATTGTTTTTCAACAAAAAAGAGATTGAATCTAAAAAGATGACGTTGAGGAGAGTTTCTAAAAGTTTTTTTTCATTTTTTGATCATCGACGACCACCGTTGACGATGAACCTTAGAGGTGGCCGGTGTGACAGCATGACACCAGATTTCAACGAAGGCCAAAGAGTTTTTTTTAATGTTAGACTTTTTTTTGAAGGAAAGGAGAAAATGATCTAAAAAAAAGTTGACTTTTATAAAAAGTTGACTTTTATATAAAAAAACAAAGGAGCAAAACGATGCCGTTTAAAAGGGGAAGGATTTGCGTGTGCCTATGACTTGACCCAAGATTTGCTCAATCGATATGCTGACCCACCTTCTTCAATAGCCTTGAATCGATTCAATCAGGCCGAATTGAACTACCAAATCACCAAACCGATCAAACTGATTGAACCGACGTTGACCGGACCGTTGATTGATCCAGTTTAGGTAAATTTTTTTCATCTTTTTTTTTTTTTTTTACTTTTATATATATATATATTTCTTTTACTTCATTATTGCTATTTATGTATGTGTAAGACTTTTAAAATTTATTGTTTTACAATAAGTAATAATAATAATAATAATAATAATAAAAAAATAATAATAGTGATAATATAACAACACCAATAATCAAAAATATTTTTTTAAAAAACTTTTGATTCTTTTTATTTTTTTTTAAGAATAATAACCCAAATTTTAAATAATAATAATAAAATAAGTATAAAATGATCATAAATAAATTAGTAATAGGAATATTTTCCTTGACTAGATGTTGGAGGAAACTTAATCATGTTTTAAATAATGATAATTTCACCTAGATGTTGAAAAATTATTATTATTATAAAAAAACAAACACTAAATAAATTAGTAATTTTATTATAAAAAAATATATGAGATTTTTTAATTAATTTTTAAAAATCATAAAAATTGAACTTCTTCCAAAAATCTACCTGAATGTTGAAAATTTTTAGAGATGTTCAAGTTTTTTTAAAAAATAAAATAAAAATAAACCCTAAACCCTCAAAACCCTAAAACTAAACCCTTAAAACCTTGACCTAAACTTCTACTCAAAATAATTTTGAAAACTTTGAGGATATATGTGAAAATCTCGAGTGGAGTAACTTATTCCCGAATACCGCTTAGATGATGTGGTATTTAGAAAATTTTATTTCATTAAGTTTTTCATACGAGTTCTTAATTCATTTTAACAATGAGGTTAATAACTAATTAATAATAAAAGTATAATAATAAAATAGGATCTTAAATATAAATAGTTATACTTAGGCTCTGCCTAAATGTTGAAAAGTCAAGGTGGTCTCATTATATTTAAGAATTCATTTTTTTTAAAATTTGTATTTCATCATATTGCATAATATCCATTGGCATATATATGTAAGCATATTAGCGTTGGCAATTGTTTGCATTCCTCTGTCTTTAATTTTTATTTATTACTTGATGATAAAATGTTTTATAACAAAAAAGGGACAATACATATTTTTTAAAAAAACTGTGATTTTATAAAATAAACAAAATTAATATTCTGAAAGAAATAATTCTCGATACTCTACTTAGATGCTAGAAAGTCACCAATAATTATCTTTTACAAAGAGTGCTATTTTTATTTTAAGGAATATTGTGTTAAATCTTAAGCGAAAATAGTTATTTTAAATTTTACCTAGATGTTGAAAAATTTTAAGATAATTCTTTAACTTAAATATTTTCTCAATATTTTTAAATAAAGAGTTTTAACAAAATTTTCCTTTTTAAAATGAAAGGAATTATTATTAAATTTTAAATTAAAACTATTTCATCCAATACCGAAAATAGCGCATAATTAATTGGTACTAATTTATGGGTGTTGTAGGGATGCTAATCCTTCTTCACACGTAATTGACTCCTGGATCCAACATAATTTTCGTAGACCGAAATTTATCTTTAAACCCGCATTTATAGTTTTATTAAAAGATAAATTTTTAGGTGATCAATTACACCATAAAAAATATTGGTGGTGACTCATCTCATTTTTTTTCAATTTTAAAATTTTTTTCGTCTGACGGTCCTAAAACTGTTATGACAGATGGCAACTATATTAGTAGTTTTTTTTTCTTTATTTTATGTATATATATATATATCTATAAATTATACATATAATGTTTAAATCATATGTAAAACATAAAGTTGTATCCTAAATTGGTGAGATTTAGATCTATTTAAAGGTCGAGTTATCCATATAAACCCAAAAGTTCACCTAAATTTTGAGAAAGTTTGGATAAAAACTTAAAACTCGTTAAACGAGATTGAACATAATTTTTAGGTTTGTTTAAATTTTGGATAGAGTTTTAGATAAAAAATTTAAAATTTGAGTTTGATCCGACCCGATCTAAATTCACACGTATATAAATTTTTTATTTTTATAATATGTGAATTATATATAAATTAATTCACATATATATAAAAAATAAAAATAAAAATTACATATATTTTATTAAACTTAATTTTTATTTTTATATAATTTTGATTTTTAATTTATATATATAAATTGAATATAATCTCGTTAAACTTAATTTAATCACTTTTTTAATTTTTTATTATATAAATTAAATTTAATGAGTGAGTTTGAGATTTATTTTTTTAATTTGGATCGAGTTTGAAAAAATTTTGAAACTCAAAATTTCATACCAAATCGAGTCTAAACAAATATATAAAATAGATAAAATATGAACCCAACCTGAACTTAATCCAACACGACCCATAAACACCTTTACGTGCTTTTAACAATAATTTATATATAAAATAATTATGTAGCTAACTCTTAGGCATGAAATTTGACTCTTAGATGTTGGATGCCAATATCATTCTCTTGATTGAGATGGCAACTTGTGTTACTATTAAGCTAGTTTGCTGATGAAATTGATGGTGGAAATTTGTCAAAATTTATTACTATTTCATAGTACCAACTTGGTATATTAAATCTTAAAAGCTTGAATGCTGACTCCACTAAGAAGACAACAATGCCCACCAAAAATGTGCTCAAAGATTTCATTCCTTAAGTTTCTTGCTAGGGGAAGACAAATATTAGCAACAAGTGGAGGTGCAAAATTTTCTTAGGGAGCCGTCTTCAAGTAGTCTAAAATCAATGCATTTACGTTAATTTTACGGTGGACATTTTTCAATTTCAACATTCTTAATTTGAATTGTCTTATTTTATAACTTATAAAAAAAAAATCACAATTTAAGATGTTCATGGGTCAAGTAGGGTCAAATTTGAGTAAAGTTCATATTTGTTATTAATAGTTTTTATACTTGTTTAGTCTTGATCGATTTGAAATTTTGAGCCAAAAAAATTTTTCACCCGTCTAAAATTTAAAAAAATAAATCCCAAACCTACACATTAAACTTAATTTATATAATAAAAAATTAAAAATAAGTGATTAAATTAAGTTTAATGAAATTATATTCAATTTACATATATACAAATATTAAAAATAAAAATTATATATATAAATTAAAAATAAAATTATATAAAAATAAAAATTAAGTTTAATAAAATATATAATTTTTATTTTTAATTTATATATATATATATATATATGAATTAATTTATATATAATTCACATATATATAAAAATAAAATTTTATATATATGTGAATTTGGGTCGAGTTGGACTGAACTTGAGTTTTAAATCTTTTGTCTAAGCTTCAGCTTGAAATTTGAATAAATTTAAAAATTATGTCAAAGTCAATTTAACGGGCTTTAAATTTTTGTACAAACCCTATCAAAATTTGAGAGAGATTTCGAGTTTGAACAGATAATATGACTTTTGAAATGATAATTATTAACAAGTTTCCCAAGGAGGTGTAAAATTTTCTTAGGGAGCCGTCTGCTTCAAATAGTCTAAAATCAATGCATTTACATTAATTTTACGGTTCTTAACTTGAATTGTCTCATTTTATTATTTTACTTTAAAAAAATCACAATCTAAAAATAGAAAAGAGATTATAGATAGCAAGACGTATTTCATTTTATTACCTTTTCATAAAAAGATAAGATTTAAATCTTTCACAGAAAAAATTACTTTTTCTTTTCACTGATACAATGTATATTGTTATCATTCTATCAATTTTAAACGTTCTTGTGACATGCTTTATACTTTTGCACATTAAATGAATAATTAAATCTTGGGTTACTACTAAACAAAAGTTTTCATTTTCAACTCAATCCCCCTCCTCTAGAAGGATTCTCCTTTCTCTTTTTCCATTGTTTATGAACCTTAATATGTTTGGTAGGAAGGATATAAAAGAGAAAGATGAAAAGAATTTTAATTTAGTAGTTGAGATTCATAATAAGGTGTGCTATTTTGTAACTTAATCCTCATATTATTTTTTTTCCTTTTCTTTCATTCTTATCGAACAAAATTAAGTGTGATTAAGGGAGTGAGAAATTGGGCAACAGCACTATATTTGATGAGTCCAGGAGGAAGTAATTTTTTGAGAAATTGGGCTTTGTCATTAATAAAATGAATGCCAGTTACTGGACTCCACAAGTTAGTAGAATTCTTGAAACAGATTAAAAGGGGGGAATCTGATATTCAATAGTTTGTATATATGATTGTTTCTGATAAAAAATCTAAATGTCTATTAGAAAGAATAAGGTAAAAAGGAGACAACAAAAACATCACTAACAACTTGGTACACAATTTTGATATAATCTAAGAACCATATAGTATTGCATTGACAGCAGTAGGAGATGATGATGGTGTGGTGGTGTTGCTATAGCTATAGTGATGGTAGTGACTTCCATATTCAAGAAAAATTGTTACAGATACAGGCCAATTCTCAGAATATCATGAAATCCACCAACGTGGCAGCGGCGGCAACTTATTCGTGTCAGTTGGTAATTAGCATTGTTATCGTGATTGTTGTATTTGATTAAGCTGATACTTAATCATCGTTCATTATAATATAAAGAAACATGTTGTTAGAGTGTTGAATTCTTAATTTTAGTAATCAAAGATCAATTCATGATAATTTCAAATATAAAAAAATTATATTGAAGGCCAACCGGCTCATCTAAAATTACTGTATTTTGCCTACCCCATCAGCTATAAGAGTCAAAATCATACTGTTGAAAACTAGCAGGGTGAAATTGAGTTTTTCAAGCTGTATGCATCATTATTTTAATTTTGTTATCTGTATCATACAAAGGTGCTTTTAAAAAGGTTGGTAAAAGGATAAAAAAAAAAAAAAATAAAGAAAAAGAAATGAAACAGTCCTTGGAAAATTTTAAAAAGTTTTCTAAGTGGAAGTGTTAAGGACTTAATCTAGACTAAGTCATGAAATACAAAAGGCTGCAGCCTGCATGCATACCAATCCCAAATGCAACATGGATGAAAGAGTATTAATTTATTTCTTAATTTATGATCAAATCTTTAAGGCAAGAATATTATATTGATGTATATAAATGATAAGGTAAGATTAATCAATAAAGAACTTATAAAACACGAGAAAAAGTGCAGCAGATCATGTCTAATTATATATTTTCTATCCATATGATAGTAGGCAATGATCATGACCTTGCACCACAAAATCCACTTCAAATACTGCTAAACAAGGTATCTGCAGCAGTTAATAGATGATGTGCTACACTATATTTTAATTTTATTATTGTAATGGGATTTCAGAAGGCTCAATATGTGATTAATAAATTATCATTGTCTCTAAGATAGCTGTGAAAGGAAATTAAACCTCGTTAGAGGTGGCAAAAATTGACCCAATTCGAAAAATTCATTTGATTTGTTCGAATCTAACTTGACTGATCTGATTTGATTAAAAAAAACTAATAACCCAAATTTGATCCAATTTAAATATGAACTGATGTGAACCCATATTGTCCCAAAATCAAATTGACTTATTATAAACAAAGCTTGACTGTTTGAGTATTTTTTTTTTCTTTTTCAATTTCAAGTAATAAGCAAAAAAATTATTATTGTTTTTCATCAACATAATAGTTGCTGGTAGAGATAGGAGAATATAATTAATGCAATCCTTCTCATTAAATAATCCTATCAATACTAAGATTATAGATTCTATGCTGTCGAATTTTTGCTTTCCAAATTGGAAATTTCTTATTAATCAACTCACTCTAACTCGGGTGAATTCACAAGGGAAAAACCTGTTCAGAATTTTTAAAACTTAGTGCTAATTACGCTAATGTACTCGACAATGATTGCTTGGATGATGGAAGAAGAATTATAAATATATAGAAAAAATTATAATTAAAGGAAGAAAATAATGTGAGAGCAAGAAAAAGAAGAGCTAAAGCACTTTGATAGGACCCATAGCTTGTCCCCTCATTAGCCCCATTGATGTGATCTTCATTTTTCTCTCTTCTGCAAATTTTTTTTTCTCTTTTCTTCTCAAGATTCTTTCCTTCTTTTCTGTCTAGAAAGATAATATTGGAGAAAAAGAAAACTTCATTAGACAATTATGACGTCAATCAACAAAGGAAAAGGAATAGCAGAAGGGTCTTCAAGATCCACAGCTGTTGCTGTTGCTGCTGCTGCTGATCAGCAAAATCCGCCTCCGTTAAGCAGGTATGAGTCACAGAAGAGAAGGGATTGGAACACTTTTGGACAGTACTTAAGGAACCAAAGGCCACCAGTTGCTCTTTATCAGTGTAACGGGAATCATGTGCTTGATTTCCTTCGTTACCTTGATCAATTTGGCAAGACCAAGGTGCACTTACAAGGTTGCGTATTCTTCGGCCAACCTGAGCCACCAGGACCTTGTACATGCCCTCTTAGACAAGCTTGGGGTAGCCTTGATGCTCTCATCGGACGACTTCGAGCTGCTTATGAAGAGAATGGTGGCTTGCCTGAGACCAACCCTTTTGCAAGTGGTGCTATTCGAATTTTCCTTCGTGAAGTAAGGGATTCCCAAGCTAAAGCTCGAGGAATTCCTTATAAGAAGAAAAAGAAGAAGAGAAATCCATTGAAGATAGCTCATGGAGATAGCTCCAGCTTCTCTATTCAGCAATCTTGATTTCTTTCTGCAGGTTTTTCCTTATAAAGTGGTAATTATAGTTTATTTATTTCCCTTCAGCACAGTCATAGCTCAGTTAGCTGCTGTTTAGATCTGGTACTGATAGAATAAAACTATGACTTCATGGAATGAAACACAAAAAAATAATTGAACTTGACTGTAACCAATAAGATTATATAAGCTTCAATTCACTACCAAAATTAAGTTTATTATATACGGAATTTTACCGATGGAAATTTTTTATGATTAAAGCCTGTATATAATATTGACATTTAGGCCATACATTCTTTTGCCTTCATGGTAATAAACCCTAGAGGCAAAGGCCTTCAAAACCCTAATTTGTATAGTAATACACGGTAACAGTACTTAGTAACTTTACCTTAATATCAGTAACAAACATTAATTGCTGTGATGTTAATGAAAATCCCTTCTCCTTCCTCTCTGTCTCTCTCCCTCCCTTTTTTTTTAAAATTTTTTGCTCCCTCTAACTCTCTCTCTCACATGCAAGATCTCAATAACTTCAATGGTATCCAAAATTGATATTGATTCCCATTTTCACGCTTCCTTTTTTTTTTTCTCTTGTAAGTCCTAGCTCTTCTAGGATTCTGCACCATCTTGTGCCCTCCATGAATTAATGGCCATAACACTAGATATAATATATACATGTATATATATATATATATATATATATATATATTGGTGTCCTTTTCATAATCTTAAGATAAGTTCATGATTGAAGATCTTACGACAGTAGGATAAACCCAAATGCTTATTCATATTGTCTTTTGTTTTTTGGTGCAGAAACATAAGCTATGACTAAGATATCCTACAGTTCCCCATAAATATATATATAAGCTATTGGTTTTTAAATTGACATTATATTATAAATGTCCTTTTCTTTGGTAACAATTCTATATGCAATTGACCTGAATCAGATTTTCTTTTGTTTGCATCTGAAAAGTGGTAATTGTTTCCTTATTATATTAACCCACAAATGCTTTGCAGCTAATATTAGTGACATGCAATGTGACAAAAAAATTCTGCAAAAGCATCATAATTATGCCATCTATGATGTGGAATTACCCTTAATTACTAAGGAATTTCACAATCATATCCTATCAAATTAGCTCTAAAAACCCAAATTTCAAGCTTATTAATATCATGATTTATTCCTTTCCTTTCATTTTGTCTCATTTCAGGTCCTAAAATAAAAGTCTAAGTTTGAACCAGTTTGCTACTACATCATCATGTCAAAGCTCCATCTTTACTCGAAATGGCAATCATTTTCCTCTTTGGATCAAGATATTGATCATTTAATAGATAGCTAGATGCCTAGATCAGCACTGTGTTCTAGATGGGGCAATATATATATATATATATATATATATATATATAAACTGGAGTTGAAGAGGGTAAGTTGCTTTTTTTCTTCTTTTTATATATATATATATATATATATCCTTTTCTTTTTCAAGTCAGTTAATCAGTATTTTGTAAAAATGCAGTCAAGTTTGTCCCATGAAACTATTCTCCAGGTATATGTCTATTGATGCAAGTGACTATGACAATATTGCACTTATTCAACTGTTCCATTTTTGTTAATGACTTGGGATTTCAACATTTAGCACTAGCTAGGAGGATAGTACATTAAATTATTGGATGAAAAATGATTGAGTGCTTGGCTCTATATAGGAACATTTATCATGTTGAATAATCTAGTGTAGATTACTAAAGGGTAAGGAAAAAAAACATTTTGTATGTGCAAATATTTATGAATATAAGATATCTGTGTATGTCTGTACTTCTATAACTATAAAGACCAAAAATTTTTTGGGAGTTTTTAGTATTACAATTATATTTATATTCAATACACATGATCCATTAGGCATGGATGTTACATGAGTTGTGTTTAAATATTAGGCTAATGGTAGTCAAATAATATAAGATTATTCGAGATCCATTTTCTTAATTTTTGTTTATCTTTATCCTATTTCATAATTCCTAGTGGTATATATCCCCCACTTATATAATATCTTGTCCCACATCTTCATAATGTTCTTTGATTTAGAGTACATTGGATTCCTCTTCAAGGGTTAATAAATATTTACATTAGTAATTACTGTGATTAATCTTCCCTTTCCCACTCAATGGTCAAGTTTCTCCTCCCGCCATTTTGATCTTTACATTGCAACCCTTTTTTTTTTTTTTTGAAAGGCAAGCTTTTTAATTAATAGATAAAAGGAAGAGCACAATAACATTGAGGAATAGAAAGCAATAAGCTGCTGTACTTGAGAAAGGAAAAAAAACCAAAGGAGTCGTTTAATTCGCTACAACTCTAAAAAAATAACTTACATTGCAATCCATCTATGTCAAGATCTGCAATTCTTGTTTCCACTGAAAAATGGCAAAATTTTCTGATATTTTAACCAAAAACCTTATCCCTAAGCATACTTAATGTAGCTATATATGTATACATTGTCATACTTATACTCCTCTTTAGCAAGGTAATGGTCAAAGGCTGGAATCCCCTTCCCACTTGGAATTTCTCGTGTATATCAAAACACCTTGCAGGTTCAATCACACATCTGAAAATTTTCTATCAATGGATAGAAAATTTTTACGTATTATTTCTTGTTTGATATATTTGGCCAAACTTAATGTTGCTCATATTGCCAGATGGATTTGAGAACCATATACACCATATGCATTTGCTCTTATTTTTTCTATCCCAAGCAACAAATTAAATTTCTATCCGCCATTTTATATCTTTCTGCATTCATGATGATGATGAGCTTGCCTCTTATTTCTGTTTTAATTAAATCTAGGATGATCAACTAAGAATTCCCTAGTCTTCTAGTTTGTTGGGATAAGATTTGAGCCCTAGGTTGATCATAATAGTAGAATTGGTTACCATTTCTTTAGATTTTGTAGTATTATTTAAGAATGTGACTTAGTTTATTAAGGGCCATAATAACAGTGATAATGTATATTCACCACTTCAATCTGAAGTGGTGAAAACATTCTAATAATTAAATCCTCTAGAAAGTATAAGAAAATAAAATCAACCGTTTAATTAAGTAGAAATCAAAATTTGAATTGATATGATGAACATAAGTATAGAGATAGTCTAATAATTGAGATTTGGCACTTGTTTTTTGTCCTACAAACCTATATCAGAATTATTCCAAAATTTATAAATAATTAGTTTAGAATTCCCATGGTCCCCATTTTCTTTTCTTTCAATGAAAGTAAAATGTTAATCATTAAATGCAAAGAAAAAAGATTACATCAAAAAGAAATAAAGAAAAGCTATAGATCTCTGTAAGGAAGCCCATGGCATGTATTAAACATACAAAATCCTTGAAAATATACATATGTGCTAGAATTCAGATGTCAAGGAAACTTGAAAACTTGAGAATAAAACGTACAATTATCAAAGTATAGGAACAAGAAAGGGAGGCAAAGTAAGATTCTTGAAGTGAAAACTATGAAAAGAAAGAACAAGTCAATAAAAGAATCATAAGTTTGTTGAAAATTATTGACAAAGTTTAGGCAGAAATGCAATAACGTAATACAACTTGAAAGCAATTTCCTTGTCATCATTCATAGCTACTCCAAGATGCACAAAATCCCAAATTTGATATAGGTGAATAGTACGCATAGAGTTGTCCCATTCCATAGAAAACTTATATACTATAATTTCTCCTTCATTTCCTTTTTCATTTGCAGTTTAAGAACAATGAAAGTTTCATCTGATCTAAAACTAATTGAGTTGCTTCTTGTTCTTCTGGTTTCACCTTTACTTGCAATCCTCATGATTGATTAGCATGCCCTCCAGTTGGATGCCAGAGAGCCATAGTCTTGTTCTATGATTTTTTTAAGACATTCCATTCTTCCCTAGCTAGTAGCCACTCAAAATGGAATGACCTATCAGATTGTACTTGAAGATGCCGTTAGCGTGATTAGTTGCTGCATTTTAGACTTTCAGATGGATATATATTATTTCTTTACAGTCATCATAGCACCATTTTTTAACCAATGCCAATGCATTAAGGTAGTACATTTGCTCTATTCTTAGCACTAGCAAAGAGTGGGGCATTTATAAGGCCAATAACTCCTTGTTCTGTACCTCTTTCTTTTGGAATTCACTGAAGAAACATGATATGCAGACATCCATAGAACATTGACAACACACTCTCAATTCATAGCTTAATTACACTACTTTTCTCCATAATTTCTGTCAAACAGGAGATTAGATATGATCTCAAAGGGGATGGGAGAGGGAGGGGGGGCAGGAGAAGTGATTGCGAATTGCCTTCTGTTATTTTCAAAAATCAAATGTTCCATCATATGGTGAAAGAACTTGAAAAAACCAAGGATCAAATCAATGGTACAAGAGGACTAAGAAGTATCAGATGGAGCAAATTTGATGCTTATAGCGCATAAAATATCAGAACTTGAACAATAATAAACTTGTTCGTTTGTATTTCCAATCAATTTCATCATTTCAAGTTTCTCTTTTGTGTTTGTATTGTTGTATTGTATGCATGTTTTCATTGGCATGTTGCATGAATTTGCAGCATTCAAGCTTCCAAACAAATGACAATTTGTACAATAGTCACAGTAGGCTAATGGAAGATGTAATTGTCTCCTTTCTAACTATAGGAGAAATAGGAAATCATCTCAATGTTTGAACTAATCATAAAGGTAGTTTTTGTTATATGCATACAGCTATTTATGGGTGAATTTCATACTGGTTAATGATCTGTTTGGAAGCAAGAAAATCTGCATTTATAAATAAGTAGGATTAACATAATTCTTGTTAATTCCTTCAAATACTCTTTAAATTTTGACTAATGCCTTTCTATCCTAAGATTTTATTACAAACAACGTATCTTATAAAATAAAAAATGAGTAACCTAGAATTTCGATTTTAGTAGCATCATTTTTGAGAAGTCGAATTCAAACTTTGAAAATTTGGTCCCACATAGCAATTTCTTGAAATTATTATGAAACATCTTTTTCTTTTACTTTAAAGAATCGCATTTAGAATGCCGTGTGGTCATAGGATTCTCTTTAATAATATAATCCTTAAAAGATTTACTAGAGATTTTGTTCAATCACTAAGAATTTCTTTTTCTTTAAAGCATATTTCAATAATTTACTTTTAACGCAAAATACGCTTAAAATGACACGTATATAATATATAAAAAGATACATTTCAATTTCAGTATTGTAGTATTATCTTCTTCCGCAAGCAAGTTAAAGATCCTTAAAAATCATTTCATATATAAAACAAACACATAAAACCAATTCCCTCCCCTTCCCTCTTTTTCCCCAATACCCCACCTGTTGTCCTAGTCTTATGGCAGTTTTTGTTAAGGGTTCTTAAAGTTGCAGGTTGTTGATCAAATCAAATTAATCAGAGTTTCTGCAGCACCGTGCATGGACATGGGGATTATAAGATAGCTTGCCTCCTTGAAAATGAAAGGAGTATATAAGCACTTAACTATATATTAGAGTAGTATAGTATGAGGAAGCACAACATTAGTGTTTGTTTTTAGGTTATAGTTGAACTTTGAACTTGAGACATTCAGTTTTGGAGCCGATTTTAGTACTATTAAATTAAAAATTTAGCAGTAACATTAATGTACTTATATATAATTAATAATATGGGATTCAGTTTATTAGTGTGACACATCAGAATCCATTAATTTCCATTAAAACCATTGTTTCCTTTATAGAAGTAATTTCCATAAATCCTGGGTTATGGAAGTGAGGTATCAGATCAAAGGGGAGCAAACAATTTTTCTGGGTAAATGAAGGAATACATTTCTTTTTTTTTTTTTTTTGGTAAGGTGAAAAGTATGATAAAGTTAAAATAATGAATCAAAATGATGAATGAAATACTGTTTTCTTCTTATCAAGGAAGCAAAATACTGACCAAACAATTTAAACCGCAAATCAGATGCCGATATAGCCGAGATTTACTGATCTGTACGAGAGGACTATTCGCGTCATTTACTCAAATTGGAAGAAACAAACAATTTTGCAAACCAGACAGACAAAAGTGCGAGTGGCCACTTCTGCTTCTGGAATGGGTTATTTACATTGAAGAAAACTTGCCCGTTGGATCATCAGGCAGGGTTGATGTCAAAAAAAGTCTTGAACCAGCTTCTACGGGAACCAGACAACAAGGCAAAACCAGGATCTCTTTAGAAATACGAGCATGTGCCTTTTTTACTTCACCCCCACAATTATACCATCCCAACCAAGAGTCAGATAGTAGTTTTTGTACAGGCTAAACTTTGAAGTATTCATTTTTCTTCTACTTGAGACTGTCAAAATTCAAACCTTGATCACTACTGTAACTAAAAGTTCAACGCTCTCTCAATAGACCGCTGATAGACCACTTATAGAGAATTTTAAAGTATTCCATATTCCTATAACCTGGCATATTCCATTTCATCTCTTAATATCAAGAAGTAATTGCCACTTGCATTAAGTGGAAGGAATGACGGTTCAGGCAGTCATTAAAAGGAATATATACACGGTCAAGGAGCTTTAAATCTCATGTCCAATGCTGTGATGAGTTGCTTATTAAAAAAAGGGAAAAGAAAAAAAGAGAACACTTTACAACTTTTTTGCAGAGTGAAACATGGAATGACAAGGATGAGTTGGACAGCAAAGTTTCAGTTAATTACCTGCTTCCTCTTCTTCTGTTAAACTTCATCAATATGGAATGAAAGCTTTTATATCGACAGGAAGCATTCCTTTGCCCTGTTTATGGAATTTCATAACAGCCTTATTATAGAGTAATCAGCTGTATTTATGACAATTCCATTCCATCCCAAGACCAAAGAGAATAAACTGTAGGTCAAAAGTTTATATGACTCTTTTACTTATGCAAAGTACCCCATTTTGATTCCAATCAAGCAAATATCAACAACAAACTGAAAAATCCATGTACTGAAACCACTTTTCTTGAAATATCTGATGAAATTATTGGATGTTGTCACTAGTCTGGAAAACAAACCACTATTTAGTGCTCCATGACAATGCATAGGGACTAGAGTTAATCAATTGAGACAATGTGGGAAGTTCAAAAACTGTTCTGCACCAATAATATTAAAGAAACTGAAAATTTTCAATAATTTTTGATAACTTGAATTTTCAAACAATGACTCTTAGCAGTTAATGCTAAGTACCTAGAAAATCATATAAGGCAGCCATTGTTCTTGCATAAAAGCACAAGTACCATAATGTCGAACACTACTGAATGCAACAAAAGATCGTGAATAATTAACAGAGATTCTAGTCTTACAACTATGCATATTGGTGCATAAACAAGTATGAGGAAGAAATGGGAATCACTGAGACTGTTAATCAGTAAATATTAGTCAAACAAGCACCAAAGCAGTGTCTACTGCCTACTATGCTACTTCCTTTTCTGTCCTATTCTCTGGTACATTATGAATTACTGGAAAAATATCTTAGGACAATGGTCTTTTAGCAGGACATCTAACGACATACATGCAACAACCATTACAAAGACCATACATTGACCTAATTGTATACTTAAATAATGAACTTCAGATTGAAGTCCCAAGAATATACATGACCAAGGGAGACACAAACAACATAAAATTTTAAAATGTAAATGAAAGATATTATCTCTGACAAAGAATAGCAATGACAAAACATAATATGGCACTAATATTTAGGCTGTGCTAGAGAAAGGACCTTTCCATCATTTTATATTATTTCTGGCACTTGCACAAGCAGTGCCACATACTCTTAATAAAGTACAAGCTAGATTTCTGGATTGGCAAAGATGACTAATCAAAATTTCCCTTCAACTAGATTATTCCTGAAGCCCTTAATTCAGACAGAGTTTTAAACATGTTATGAACATGTTATGAAGTCAAAGGGTGGAAGTATAATACAGTAGAAGTCTCTAAAAATATATTTAGATCTTGAATCAGACAGAATATACTTACTTTATAAAACCCAACAAAGTCTCTGAGTTGCAAAATTTTACTTTATAAAACTGAACAAAGTCTGTTATAAACTAATCTATCGTGTAAGTCAAGTGATATATTATAAAAGTTTAGTTTTAGGATGAAGAACCAAACTAAAGTCCAGTTAAAAGAAACACCTAAGATCATTCAATTGCAAAAAAGTGAAAAGAAAAAAGAAAATAAGACTATTTACAAATTCATCTGTCTTCATAATAATTATAAAAAATGGAAACACTTACAACTTATTTGGTGTATCCATATGAAGGAATCTTGAGAAAGATCTAATTGGAAAACTCTACATAAAGCAACTCAAGAATTGAATTAGTCAAATTACTAATTTCCATTTGGATCAATTACATGAGATGCTAGAAAAGCTCTTCGAGCTGGAAACGGCCACCATCTGCTAAGACCATATCCAAAATGAGATTTTGCTCTTTTATTGCATGTGTTTCTCACTTCATCATAAAGAATGGTGTAGTTTGAGCTGCTTATGTTCCTAGAGTAGCAAAATTTACTGCCATCATAATTATATGTTTGTTGGGTCCTTGCCACCCCGCTGACAACCAGGTCATCTTTTGTAATCATAACACCCTTTCCTTTCTGCAAATTCCTAAGTGAACTGCTAGCCGACCTAGCATCAGCATCTTTAAACTTCTTCTCATCAAATCCCAATGTGACATTAGCTACAGACAATGCAGTTCTGTTCCCTTGTTCGACATAGTCAGAGTATAAGTACAAAAGAAACGTTTTGTTTGATTTCTTTGATTTGACATTAGAAGATGGCATAATCGCATAAATGCTGTCATCAAAATGGATCGTCTGATTCACAATCTGCAGATTTCCATCCTTGGCCATCACCATGGAGTTACTATAACTTAAATTTTGAATAGATTTGGTTATGACTGTCCCATAAGTGGATTTGACCCATCCATTGGAGGATATGAACCTGGTTGTATTTGTAACAAATGTTCCATTTAAACCCTTAAAATCTGACACAGAGGAAACACCAAGAGGAACAACGTCATGCTGCAAAAGCTTCCCTTCAGTCTTTGTGCTCTTACTATCTAACCATAGATGCAAATTGGAATCAATATACCATACATTTAAGGCATTTGTGACACTAAAACTTAGTTTGTGGGGTTTCCCATCCAATATATTACCCAAAAATGGGGTAATTTCAATATCATAAGTAGGGAGATCAAATGAACCAATACCGCTAATGGGTCTCCACAAGAGAGGATTAATTCCTCCAGTGTAAACCACAGTAAAAGGCCAAACAGCACCGACCAGTTTACCATCCAAGCTGACCAAAACTTCCCTAAATGGTCCATTCCCTGCTAAATCTGTAAGATTATTAGCAGCAATATACTCGTTCGGAGGATTTGCATACCAAAATTCATCATTCTCATGAAAAGACACATATACCTCCAACACAGCCCGATAAACATTCTGAGGAATTTCAAATTCCTTCACTTTAACATCAGTAGCATTCTCAATCTCATACCACAACCCATCATTCAATGGCAAATCCCGCGAAAAGGGTATGATCAAATCAGCTTTAGAACTAACCCCAGACCCTAAACTTCCCTCCTTTCCCATAAAAATGTTAAGTTTTTCCACAGCAGGGTAAAAATAAAGAGTTACATTGACATGATAAACACCGGTATAAGTTTTGTCAACAATATTTCCCAAATAAACAGCAAAAGTTTGAGTCTTGTTCATCAAAAGCAATGAGGAATACCTTGTTACATCCTTTTGGACACTCCAAACAATCCCAGTAGCTCTAGGCTCAGCTGTGCAGCTCCTAAGAAGCTCCACCCCAGATAGCCAAACTCCAAAAATCCTGTCAAATTGCCTTCCTTTACATGTAGCATTCCACTCCAGGACAATCTTGGAAAATTCCTGATATGGGCAATCAGATGGAAAGCTATAGTTTGCAAAAACAGGAGGTTTCCCATAAGTGTAGCCAAAGTCATGTTGCAGAACCAAGAGGGAACACGGCTTGGCGTTTGGGACATAGATGGGTTTGGTGACTTCAAAAAAGAGAGTTGGTGGGATGGTTTCATTGGTAGATGGTTGGTAGATAAGGGATGATTTGAGGAGGGTTTTGGATCGTTGGAGATTAGCTTGACTGAAGAGAGGGTCGAGAAATAGAAAGGGAAGAAAGAAGAGAAAAGGGAACCAAGAGGAAGACATGAATGGCTGTTGGTAGGGGAAGTTGTTGCTTTGAAGGGTATTAAATAAATTTGGTTTTGGAGTTGAAAGCAATGCCAATGACCATGATTGAAGAGTTTTGGAGGCAGAAAAAGTTAGAAGTGGAAATTATCGGGGAGAAAACAAGGGAAAGGCTTCGAATTGAACCAGGAAAATGGATCTGACTTGAAAAGAAAGTACAATGATGACAGGAGTTTAATGCTTGCCGTTCGTTCCAATAGAAATAGAATCAAGATGAGTGCTAGGACATTTTATAATCAGGTTTTAGCAGGATTTTAATTGTCAATTTATTACCGATTATGATTCATATAGTGATTTTAAGGCTTTCATATCCAAGCTCAGTTGTAAATAATAATTTTATTTATAAATTATTTATTATTAATTTAATATTTAATTGAAATAATTTATTAAATGTTTAATTTATAATTTATAATTATTATTTATTTTTGAGTTAATTTTAATTTATTAATTTAATTTTATTAACAATATGCATTAAAATTGATTGTTAATTTGAGTTGCAAGTCAAAATTTGATTTAATAAACAAATATTTCACGAATATTCCTATATTATATTAGTAAAATTCATAGAGTAAAAATTAAAAGTATACAAATAATTATATCGTTCAGATATCGTGAAACATAATCAAATTTGAGTATAGATATTCAAAAACAAGAAGTATCCTCACTAGTGTCATCCTTAAGTAAAATGTAATTATTAGGTATAAAGTGTTGGGAAGATAATTTTATTAGCCTTTGATATGTACGGAAAAATGCTCATTAAAATTAAGAACTAAACATTTTATTAAAAATATAATGATAATTTTTTAAATTAACCCAATATGTATCAAAATAAGTTTGGTACACTTAGATATTTTTTAAGGTTTTTTAAATGGAAATTACCCTTATAAATAAAATACCAACTTACTAATTAAATTATATTAAATATTATTTTCACTTCCAAAACACATTTTAATACAATAAAGCTTGCTCTTTTATAGTTGTTTTTATATTTGATTTATTGTGAGTTTATAAGATATTATATGTAGTAAGTAAATCATTTAATGATATCTCATAAAACAATAATTTTAAAGTTTTAAAATTTAAAATGTAAATCATAATTCGTGTCCACGTACTTAAACATAAAATATATTTTTTAATTTTTTTAAATTTATATATTTTTTATCAAAACTTTAATATGTGCTATTTGTATATCTTTTCGTATGACTTTTATAATTTATAATTAGTTTAAATGTTCAATTAAAGCTATAATATTTGGATATTTTTTTAATTAAAAATATCAACTTTAATTTAGATTAACGTAAAACTAAATATTTTTCAATTTGTTCAAATCAAGATTTGCTTAATGGCATGATTTGCATGCACCGTTCAATTTATTTTATTGTTAAATTTTTTATTTTTTATTAATTAAAAATACTTTAGATATGACTTGAAAGTCTAATATTACTTTTTTTTATTAATTTAAATTCTTACTATAAAATATAAAATTTCTCAAATCTTTCATTTTTCACTTTTCATTTTCTTTCACCAAAACATAAACTCTCTTTTTCTCTCGCCAAAACCAATAACACCTTATAAACCCAGAAATTGGTGACTGGCCACCATTTTTGCCACTGTCTTTTGCCATGAACCTCCGACCTTCGTTGTTGGAATGAGCCCAAAATTTATCTACTAGTCCATCTTGGTCCTTTCATTCATGGTTTCTGTGTGAATTTTCCAACAAACACTTGGAAATGCCTAGATCTACAAATAAGATGCAATATTTCAACCCCTAAAAAATCCCACCTCTCTTGCTCCAAACGGTCCTGTTTTCACTATGTTTTTCTCCTTCACCTTACCATTTTTTTTTACATTTTTAAAATGTTTCAAACTTTTCCTGCTGCAATTGGCACTGTCACCTCTGGTGGTGCCGTTTTTCTTCTTGTTCAGAGAAAAATCCAATATTTGAAGAAACTACTGGCGACATAGAGTTGAAGTTATGTTGCCATGAAACCCATTTGATCGTAGACGAAGAACAATCAAACTCTTGAGTCTTTCCTCTAACTATGGTGGAATTATTCCAGTTAATTTATTTTTCCCCAAATCAAAAAGTTTCAATTCTATACAATTTTCTAGGGATTGAGGTAGTTCACCATACAAATTAGTGTTATGTAAACGCAATGATTCAAGTCCAATGAGTGAGCCCATTGTATTAGGGATTATCCTTGACAAATTATTATTCTCCAAATTGATAACAATCAATTGCCAGTACTTCATCCAATAATCTGAATGTTATCCAATAACAAATTGTTAGAGAGGTCAAGATATCTCGAAGGATTAATTCTTTTTTTGTAGAGAAAAGACTTCTTACCTTTCTATCCTTCGCCACTAAAAAAAAAATAAACTACATTACTTAAATAATTTGTCCGAGCTTTACACAAAACCTTTTTTTTTATCTTTGAATTTATAAAAATTTACACCCAACTTACAAGGTAATGTTCATTTTGACCTAAACGTCTCATTGTTTTATCCAACAAAAGTCGCATTACAAGTTTAGACTTAAGCCTTTATTTATATATTATAATAAATCCTCGAAACATTTTGATGTGGGATTGGAGTATCACAAACTCCCATTTTAAACCAAATGTTAAGATTTTAGATGTGACTTCTACCATGTAGCACTTAATTTTTGCAAGATTTTAGAGTGTCTTTATGCCATAACACTTAGTTCTGGTTTGACTGGTAATTTCTTTATTATCATTTGTGGAGACTTGTACCTATCCTGTAAGAAATTGTTTGCTTTGACTTGAAGATTTTAGGATTTTATCATATAAAAAGCACCTCAAAAGTATGGGTTTAGATCTTTACATATATATATCGTATCATATTCTCATATTCTTTTAATATAGGATTGAGAACGTTACAATTTTTCTCCATTAAAGATTGATAGAAAAAAAAAAAACGCACATATATCTACAGACTAGGATCACACAAGATGTTAAGATTCTAGAGGTGACTCCCACGGTACCGTAGCACTTTGTTATAACATATAAATCCAAAAATCTATAGCTAAACTTAACTTAAGGAGTCACCATTAATCTTTTTTAACTAGGTATGATTGGCCACCTAATGAATCTATCATTTTAAGGAGCTCTTAAGTTTGACTAAGGGTCCCTAAAAGAATAGGTTTTGATCTACTAATCAGAATAAGATTAAAAAATTCTATTACATATAAGGAAGGTTATAGCACCCTCACATGTCCATCCAAAGGATGGTACCATTTTATTTTAAATTATCATAAAGTCTTGATTCTAATAGTTTTAAATTTAATATTGAATATTAGAAATAAGTTTTAAGATTTTTCAATCAATCTGGTAAAATTCTTTAAAAATTATGCTTTCACCTTAAGAGTATTCAATAATTTCATTTGTTTTTTTTTTTAAGAGACTCTGTCATCGAAAAAATGTTTAATCATTTTTTATTATGGTTTTTGTATTGAAAATATATATAATTCGTCCACCATTTAGGCTAAAACTAGAAATATCTTATTACTTAGAAATTTCTTAGATAATCAACCATTTGAATTATTAAAAATTTCATCATCAAAATTTATTTTTATTTTTATTTATTTCTAAATTTTTAACCATTTGGGTCAATTTAAAAATTTTCTTTTTGATTTCTAAAATTTTTCACCATTTAGGTCTATTTAGAAAATTTTTTCTTTCTTTTGAAAAGAAAATAATGTGACAATTATTTTTTGAAGTTTTATTTAAATTCTTTCACCATTTGGGACAAATTTAAAGAAATTTCTAACCTAGAGATTTCTTAAAAATTTACTATTTGAAAATTTTAAGATGTTTAATCATTTTTTATTATGGTTTTTGTATTGAAAATATATATAATTCGTCCACCATTTAGGCCAAAACTAGAAATATCTTATTACTTAAAAATTTCTTAGATAATTAACAATTTGCAATTATTAAAAATTTCATCATCAAAATTTATTTTTATTTTTATTTATTTCTAAATTTTTAACCATTTGGGTCAATTTAAAAAATTTCTTTTTGATTTCTAAATTTTTCACCATTTAGATCTATTTAGAAAATTTTTTCTTTCTTAGGAAAAGAAAATAATATGACAATTATTTTTTGAAGTTTTATTTAAATTTTGTCACCATTTGGGACAAATTTAAAGAAATTTCTCACCTAGAGATTTCTTAAAAATTTATCATTTGAAATTTTTAAGATTCTCATCCCTGGATAATTGTTAAATATTTTCAACCAAAAATTTTTAAAATTTTCTTATTATTATTTTTTCCTTTTCTTCTTTTTTTTTTGAATTGAAAATAAATATTAATTATTATTATTGAAATTTTATCTAAATTATTCCATCATTTGAGACAAATTTAGAAAAAAAATTTCACCTAGGAATTTTATAAAAGTTTACCATTATAAATTTTTAAAAATTTTATTATTGGATAATTATTATTTATTCTAAAAAAATTATTTTATTTTATTTTATTTTTGTTATTGTTTTGAATTTAATCATTCAAAAATACTTTTTAAAAAACAAACAAACAAACAAATAAATAAATAAAATACCAAAAACAAAAATGGCTTGGCTTGGCAGTTACAACGGGGCTTGCTTCAAAAAGAAAAGTTGAAACGGCTTGGGATGACTGCTTGACTTGGCTCGGCTTGAGACAAAGCCTGAACACAGATTAAACGCAGGTCAATGCTCAGGTCAGGTTGACCTGAATAGAAACATGTGGATCATGGAAGGTTGTTTAACGCCAACGTCATTTTGATGGGTATAAATAGCAAAATTCTATTTTTCCTTCACATCTTCTTCTTTCCTTCTCTTTCTTTTTTTGATTTTCCTTTCTCTCTCTAAAACTCAAAAAACATTGGTTGAATCTTCGTTAGATTTTGAAAAACTCACCAAAATCTAGGTTTGTTCACTAAAAATTCATTGCAAAATTCAACTTTTGTTGGAATCTTAAACCACATTCTAGAAAAGTCACTAAAAAAATTCAATCATCATTGAAAAATTCATCGAAATCTGAAAAATTTTGTTAAAATTTGGGAATTTTTCAAAAATCTTTAAAATTTTTTTGATTTTTTGCTGATCTTTCTGTTTTTTACTATATATTTTTTTGCCTATCTCCATGTGTATTTTTCTAGTTTCTATCTATTTTTGTTTTTTTGATCTCTTTTCTGTGTATCCTTTTAGGCTTAATTAGGGTCTATATTTATAGGG